TTTGTCAAATAAATATAATCTGTTAAATGACAATCATCTATTATTTCTTAGAAAAGGAGATTATTTTTGAATGAGCAGACTACCACTGGTTGCTCATAAACCAAGCTCCAATATTACTTTTGTGATTGTACAATATTTAAAAATATGACATATACCTAAAAGCTCCATTCTCACATTCGCACCCCTTACTGTTAGAGCACATTACTACTGTATAGACAATAAATGAAGAATACTGCACATGTAGTATGATTACTTCTTTTAAAAGTTAAGCATTTCTAGGACCATGAGCAACAATTTATGATTATGCAGAATCGCCTTCTTGATTGTAATATATTCAACTCATGTTTAAGAAAATAATCCAGCGTTTACATCACACTGGTGAAGGGTATTTATTCTTTATATTCCTCTTATGTTTCAATGGGCTTTACAGCTACCTTCTTAAAAATACATAAAGTAGTGCATGAGCTACTGAGCTATCAGTGTGATCTCACCACACTCCAGCACAATGAAATATGAACCCTGCTGATATCAGAGAGCCAAGTTTCTATACTAACCTGCAGTTCTATCAATAACCTTTACAACATACTTGCTGAAGGCCAAGGCTGTTATTTCTCTTTTTATGTCATGGCACATCAAACAGCAATGTCAATACATGTTCTGTAAACTCAAGCCATTGTTGAAAATTTTACCAGTCTTAGAGCTCTGTGAATTTGTCCCCTCCTCCCCCCAACAAACAGCACAATGAAATCCGCCACATTCATTAGTGCTGTGTTTGTGTCGATTTGTGCAATTGAAAACAGCATCTGAGATGCTTTCGTTCCCGTGAAATAGTGTCATCTTTTTTGGGTGGAGTCATGTGAGTGTTGTTGCTGTTGTAGGAGGGCTGAGTGATGACACACCCTGGAAAAAAAAGGCACTATATCTCGGAAATGAAAGCACCTCAGACACTACGTTCAATGGCACAAACCAGCACAAATGGAGCACAAATGGATGAGACCGGTTTTCCTGTGCCATTCCAGAGGGATGTTGACTGATGGCACATCCCCTAGAAATAAGGAGCTACATCTCATGCTAGAAAGGAAAACAAACACTTTCTACTGCACGAACCAGCACGAACAGAGCACTTATGAATGCGGTGGGTTTATGAACTCAGTAACTTATAAAATAAGAAGAAGCATCTGAAAAATAAAAAGGTAGTCTACCATCAAGTTTGGGACTTTTAATTTGTGGCTGGACAGTAGAATAATGTTTTTATTTAATACAGTATGAAACTCAATGACGGCATCAGAGTAACTTAATGTCTATTCGGTAAACACTCAATTAAAAGTAAGACACCACTGGATTGGAGAAACTGTGTTTACTGTGTGATGTGTGATTAAGCAACTGTTTTCTGCTTTTAAAAGCCATGGTACTGAGATTTCGCTAAAAGCCTGAGAAAATCCCAAGAGGTCTTGGATCATAGCCAAGAAAGATCCTTTACTTCAATCAATAATAATTTAAGGCAAACAGGCCAAATACACATCTTTTGAAGATAGTGCTTTCTCTGAGACCCTGAGAGGATAGCTGCCATGTGTATGATAATGGCAACCTTACAGTATTGCATCTGAGAAATACTTCAAGATATTAAGAAAAACATGTTTTTAAAGTTCCATAAAGAACGTGATCTAGCATTGACAGATTAAATAAAAAATAAAAAAGCCATGCAATACTGGATGGTCTCAGAATCATAGGAATTTTTATTCCCCAAAAAAGCAGTTCATTAGTACACTAGAATGCCCACAAATGTTGGTAAACATTATTACAATGCATAGATGGTAGCCAAGATGTCAGCAGGCTTAAGATTCACACACTTGCATGCAAAATAGAACTTCTGCTCTACCGCAGTGCACCACTGTAGCTCTCTGAGATTTTTAAAATGCTGGAACATTAGGGAGTAAAGGCATGTTCTCACAAGCTGGGGTTGACTTTACCTGAAACTGTCTTCACAACTTCTGTGGTGTTTCTCAGCCCAACAAAAGAAAACTGGTAAAGCCTCCATGACCGGGTGTCTCCAACCTCAACCGAGCTCCTTTTCCACTTGTAGACAATTTCTTCTCTGGGGTAGCCATCTAGATGACAACAGGTTCACTCAGACACAACTCCGAAATACTGTTCATGATGCACATGCACATATAGCATATGCTGCAAGAACTCAAATGTTCTGCGTTTCCAGATTGTAGTTGCCACAGAGCAAACATTTTTAGTGTTTTACCCTTGAAATGTTTTACCCATCACCATCACTTACTAAGCATGCTACTGTACATGCAGCACACAATGCAAAAAAGGAAAAGCATGTAAAGACAAAAGATTGATATTTAAATCTGTGTACATGAACATACATAATAGAATTGTTCTGCAAAGTTTAATTTACATTGGCTCAAAGTGAATGTCAGTCACCCTAGACAGATCAAAGACCTCCAAGCAGCACAAACTGTAAAACCTACAAGCCAGGCTGGCTGTACTTTGCTTTAAACGTAATTCAAAACTTTTTGTTTTACTGATATATTTGAGCTTCTTGTATAATTGCCAGTGCTAGAACCTACTGTACCATACCTACACAGTCCTTCAATATGTCTGAATACTCTCACTGAATGATCAGTTCCAGTCAAGGTTTCAGCTTCAAATATAATACACAAGCATATGGTTTCCTTGCCTCCAATTAAAAAAGCAGGAGAGGTGGAGAACATCAGTCAAGCAAAGAGAACCAGTGTGACTGAAAGAACATTAGAAAGGTCTGCAAAGGCGAGGAGTCCATTCGGAGAGTGCAAAGAAAGATAAAACGTACTTGTGATATGAACAATATTTCAGCACATTTTATGGATTAGGAAAGGTTGTTGATTTTTTGCCACTCAGAAAGGGTTTTAAAGTCCTTTGCTTCTAAAAAGTGCTTTTTAATGAAAGAAAAAGTATCTAAAGATAAGCACAAAGCAAAATATTACTAATAATGTGAATCCCTCACTCTGAACTCTTTTCTTACGCAAGTCTAATTGATTCTTTCCCTGTAGAGCCTGTAGACATCATAATACAAGTTGGATTATTTTTCAAGATGCCAATTTTGTGACAGCTTTACCTTTCCCTGGGCTCTTTAGTCTGCTGCAACTTGATACTTTCAGAATACATATACATATATTACACACAGGTACATACATTTAATTTAAAAATATGTCACTGTTTTCTTGTGACAACATTTGGAGGAGTTAAACAATTTTCCAAATGACACAACAGCGTTCTCTATATACTCTCACTTTACTCAGTGTTCTCTATATACTCACAACCTTAAGGTACACTGCAGTTAGTTCTCCAAAAATATCTATCATCAAAACAATAAACCCTCTAATTTATTTGGTATTTACACTTACTTTAAACTTTCAGACTTTCCTTTTAGGAAGGAGTGTGCATTTTGAGCAGAAAGGTTTGGACACTGACACAGAAATCCATACATTAGCATTCCACCACCACCTCCACTATCTTCCAGTGAGTCTTTCCTATCTCATTCCATTAATTATAGGGCCAAGGAAAAGCCAGTCCAGTTTTTCATTCAACTCTCATGGACAGGGGATACATTATTTCAAAGTATTTAATCCATCTGAATACCATTTGTGTTACAATGGAGAACCTCCTCTATTTACAGTGTATCAGAGCTGGATTTGAATATGTAATGAGCATATGGCAGAACTTACAGCTTGAAAACTCCAGGGGGCAGGAATGTTCATCCATGGGGAAGTTGTTCAGTTTTAGCTGGCACTCAGCATCAATAGTCAACCTACAGTTAGGAAATTTATAAGCAGATAAACCATAACCCATTTCAATGACTTTAAATTACATTTTAAACCTTTGTCTTGTCTATGCACTACTGTAATGAGGTACATTTTAAAAAACAATCAATATTTCAATACTTATTAAGCACAGTCGTATCGTCTTCTCTCAGTAAAACTCCTGAGATTTGAATTTCAATTGCCAAAAAGGAAGATTAACTAAAGGTGGATGTAGAAAAAATATCTATCTTGGATGCTGGGAAGTCCACTATGAAAAAGTAGCATAGGGATCCAAAACATAAAAAAAAAACACGATGATGTCTCTTAAAAATGCAAAATGCAACCTTTTGATAGACTCATATGTGCTTCATTTCGCCAATTGTAAATTCCATGAAATGCCCCATACTGTAAGTGATCATACATAATCCTTTCAGTAAGTAAAAAATGATGGCTTGCCTTAGGGTGTACAGTATTCTCCCATCATTCCAAATCCTAAGCATGCGGTTTGGTGTTGTTATCCAGTGAGCATCGGCCTTCTTTGAGTTCCGAAAGAAAGTGTCAGGTATCCAAATCTTGCCAACCATGTTACTGTTGAGTCGAAGGACTTTCATTGTGCTATTGAATTTCAGCCGTCTGTCATACCAGGTTTGCGCAAAAAATATATCAATTGTATACTCCTGTTAAGAAGAAAAAGAAGAAATCTAAACCAAATCATTCAACCAAAATATACCCAAAAAAGGTAAAAGGGAGCCTATACGCCCAACTCATCCACAAATTTGATAAATACACCAAATATATCAAGGGCCAATCTTTTTTTTATTTTAACTTGAATTTAAAATGGCCTTTTTATACAGAAACAAGAATTGTCGAGAAACTAGAAGAGTTTGAATACTAACTCACACACAGCATTTTCTAAAAAGCATAGCTTTGAGGGCCATGAACCTTTTGTCCTTGTCAAACAGACCCGGTGGAGTGAACCATTTTGAGCCTTTAAACCACAGCAGTTAAAATGTTTAAAATTAATCAATTTAAAACATCAAAATAAAAAAAAATATATTTAAATTAACAGGCCTCTTCATTGACCCTAAGCACTGTCTTAACCTTATAATTGCCTTGTAACCAGAGACAATCAGTGAAACACATCAAAATAATCTCTAATAATTACTATGCTAAAACTCATCAAAAAGCATTTACTATCATTCAATATTTGCACATTAGCAATAAGAAAGAAGTTTGAACACATTGTATATATACTCTTGAGTCTCCGTGCAGAAAAAATGCAATTAATTTGTATGCACGTAACAAATTAAACTTTTCAAGAGCTTAACCAAAACATTTTCGTTTTACAAAAAATGGAAATAAAGCAGAGGGTCTCAAATGTAAGATTTATCAGTCAAACAGATTCAGTAGAAATAGATTCAAGTTTATTCCATTTTTAGAACTTGGTGCAGTACATTCATGATTTCATCTGCACCCTGTGGAGCCTCATTTGAAACCTAAAATCCATCTAAGATGAAGGAACAAAAGTCCACTCTATCAATAGAGCATCTTTCTGCTGTGTGCCTTTAATGTTACATACTGTATTTTAAATATTCTATTTGCGTTTGAGAGACTATATAAATGCATTACAGTAAATTTAATACATGCACAGGACAAAAGCAGACACTGCATTGCTAACTACAGAGAAACACTGTAAAAACATTTTTTCTTTATTAACTTTACTGTTTTAATTTTCTCCAGTCTGACAGCAGGGAAGAACAAATGAAATCAAATGAGAGACAATCAACGCTCCAGGAAACTGTGATTCATTTATCTAGATTAAACATATTTAAATTGCAAATGTCACAGCTGCATTGCATTCTTTACCAAAACTTGCTTAAAGGCTAGTATAAATAAACACAAAAGCTTCACAACAGACTAGACTACATTTATTTTGCTTCCTCAAACCTACAAATAAGCATTGTTAAAGCAAAGAGCGTACTGTATGAGACTTGCTGGTATTTCCCAGTCTGAGTTGTCCGTAAAAATAATAGTATTAGAAACAAAAGGTTTTTCATAGGGTACTGTAGATACAGTACATTAGATGATAGGGAATTGGTTAATCAAAGTTCAATAGGTGCTTATTCATCTATACATTCATCTACAGTGGTTTTACTCTAGTACATTAATGTAGAATGCTTAACAATTGCTAAAAAATTTCTGGTAAGATCACCCAAAAATAAACTGTTATTTTTCTGTTCAGGAAGAGCAAGAACATACAGTAAGTATTAGGTTAAGAATAAACACAAAGACAAAAAAGGAAAACCATACCACATTCTATGTCCCAAAATCTAAATTTTACAATAAAAGACAACATTCAAAAGACAGCATTGACTGACAGGATCTACAGTATAGTGATTCTTCATTGTACTTCTTTGTATTTTTGTACTTGTATATCTTTACAATGCTTGTTACTATAATTATTTCAAAGGCCAAACAGCTTAAAAGGCAAAACTTGGATCAAAGTAATTAACAGCAACAGGATTAATGTCATGGGTCTCTAACCTTGTAATGATAATAGTATATTTGGACTTAACTTAAGATGGCCTTTTCCACACTATAACATTTACAGTATCTGAAGGGGAATTAAATTAATACACTGAAACACTGGAATAGGTTTTGTAACCCCATAGTCATACGAACAAAGCAATGAGCTGGTCACCTGACACTACACTACTAATCTTTTCAGCTCTAAATCAAGTGTGTCCAGACTGTAAATAGAATTCTCATGAAGATCATTTCATAGAGTCCAACATATACTGAAGATCCACCTATCCATTCAACCATTACCAAAAGCCAATTATAGCATTAAGAGTCACGACAACCCAAAGCCTATCCCGAAATGACTGTGTGCAATGTGGAATAACTATAGATATTTTACTAAAGACAACGCATAAACATTCTTCATTAAGAATAAGCCTCTTTAACAAGGCATAGAATTTTAAACATCAATATTAAATGTTTGTATTCATTTTACTGTTTTAAGTATTTTTTAACTTTAAATATTGAGTACAGTATCTTCCAATAATAATATGGATCCTGTAAAACATACTGGTACAGTAACTTAACCTACCTTTAGACTTTCAGGTATATTTATGATTTTTGATTTTCTAAATATAAATAATAGAATATATATTTTATTATTATTTGTATAAAATATCTATTTATTAGTAATAACATAATAATATATAGAATAATATGTTCATTTTCTAGTTGTGTTAATTGCAATCCAGACCACAGCTATAGTATTTTTTCCAGGAAATTGGTACATATAGTATGGTTTGAAATACTACTGTATATTCTTGTATGATATTCAGTTAAAACAATTACAATACAATTCATATCAAGCAAAAATATTCTAACTTTAGATAAAGCAAACAAAATGTGTTCATATATTATTAATAGTAATATTTGAAAGGCTTTACTTACCATATTTATAGCATTTACGGGACCAATGCTGTTTACAAACATGTCAGTATGGATTACAGTTGGCTTAACTGTAAAAAGAGTAGCACAATGTTATGTTATATTGTACGACAAACTTTCATAAAAACATAAGAACTCAAGAAAGGTTACAAATGAGAAGGAGGCCAGTTAGGTAAGCAATCTAAAGGCTATAGTACATTCACCTGGACATTTACGCAGGAAAAATATAAGACTGACTGAAATTATAACTTCATACAGTCATGTGACAAAGACAGCAAACCCTCTTTCAATTCAATGGTTTTACATATCAGGGCATTAATATCAATCATCTGGTCCTCACCAACTTCTATAATTAGACAAATCTAGCCTCAGATAATAGACAACACTTAAAAGATTTCACTATGTCATTATTTATTCAACAAAAACTAAGCCAAAATGCAGAAACCATGTAGGTAAAATTACTTACTGCTTCCATAAGAATTAAGAAGGTAATTCTCAGCATTCCAGATGCTGCTAATCAAATTAGTTGATCATCAGGAACTGTGACCACCTCTATAAAAGCAGAACTTTGGGCACTTTGGTTGTCTGGAGCATTCAGGTGTGTGTTAACACCATGCCAAGGAGAAAAGATATCAGCAATGAACTCAGAGAAATAATTGTTGCTGCTCATCAATCTGGGAAGGGTTATAAGGTCATTTCCAAACAATTTGAAATCCATCATTCTACAGTGAGAAGAATTATTTACAAATGGAGAACATTCAAGACAGTTGCCAATCTTCCCAGGAGTGGGCATCCCAGCAAATTCACCCCAAGGTCAGACCCTTTAATACTCAGAGAAATCGCAAAGAACCCAAGAGTTACATCTACAGTAGGGATCTACAGGCCTCGGTTAACATGTTAAATGTTAAAGTTCATGACTGTATGATCAGAAAAAGACTGAACAAGTATGGCTTTCATGGAATGGTAGCCAGGAGAAAGCCCCTTCTCTCCAAAAAGAACGTTGCAGCATGGCTAAGGTTTGCAAAGTTGCATCTGAACAAACCACAAGATTTTTGGAACAATGTCCTTTGGACAAACGAGACCAAAGTGGAGATGTTTGGTCATTATGCACAACGCCATGTTTGGTAAAAACCAAGCACAGAGTATCACCACAAACACCTCATACCAACTGTCAAGCACGGTAGTGGAGGGGTGATGATTTGGGCTTGTTTTGCAGCCACAGGACCTGGGCATCTTGCAATCATCAAGTCGACCATGAACTCCTCTTTATACCAAAGTATTTTAGGACAATGATCCAAAGCACACCAGCAAATCTACAACTGAATGGCTGAAAAAGAAAAGAATCAATTTGTTGGAGTGGCCAAGTCAATGGCGGGACCATATAAGAGCTGTGCATAAACGAATGCCCTCAAACATCAATGAACTGAAGCAATGTTGCAAAGAAGAGTGGGCCAAAATTCCTCCAAAATGATGTGAGAGACTGATAAACTCATACAGAAAACTTTACTTCAAGTTATTGCTGCTAAAGGTGGTTGTACAAGCTACTGAATCATGGGGTGTACGTAGCTTTTCACAAGACTTCTGCATGTTGGCTTATTTTTTTTTTAAATCTGTTATGTGTTGTTTGTCACTTGAGGTTAGATTTACCTAATTCTAGGACATGGTAAGGACCAGATGATTTTTTGTTATGTCCTGATATATTAAAACCATAGAATCGAAAGAGCGTGTACAGTACTTTCTTTTTCACACGACTGTATGTATTATTTAATCAACGCATCTTCCACATTTGTCATGTTTTGGCACTTTTTCTCCTTGTTTACAATGCTCTGTAAACTGAATGCTGTGGCTACATAAATGATGGTTTGTTTTATAAGCAAAAGTACAGGGGAGTGAGAAAACAGAATTAATTTAGAGCTCAGCTGGAAAAGATACAGTATCTTAGCTTGAGTCTAATTAGTTCATCTGTTTTAAATTCAAGCAAAGCATGGCTATAAGAACTGATCAGTTTTACAATGACATAGAACAGAGTGACCACTACACTCAGGGGTTTTGTTCCTGCTTGTTTAAGTCTGACTGGTATAAGGAATGTCATTGAAATGATGAAAATTCTCTGTCAGACAGACTGTGAGCTGTGTCATGTCAGCCATGCCACTATGAATTAGCATCACAATTCTGAGGAGGTATGTGGTTAAGGAAAAAAGATGTTGTTGTTTTTTTTTTTTTGTCATGGAACAAGCCTAAGGGGTTATATTAACTGAATCAGAAACGATGCCCTGATGGACACTGTAAAATTCAGTAAGTGCAGTTAAGTATTCGCCAGTATTAAGAAATGTGTATAAATTGTAAGACGGAGAAAAGCAGTGATTGGACAATCTTCAAATGTACTTTCTATGACATTTTCAAACTGCCACTCCAGCATCAGCTGGAGAAGTCACAGTATATGTGGCTCAACCTTCCATGTCGTGTATATTAAAGCTTTTCCTTTTAGTTTGCATTTTTTCTCATAACCTCATCTGCCTGCATCTTACAGCAACAGAAAGTGAAGTAGGGAATGATTGAAGCTTCCAGAGCTTTACATTTCACTGCCACCTGTCAATAATCTCTGACCGCAGGGTGGTTTAAGCCATTTCAGTGGTGCATTTAAATCTAGATGAAGAACAGGAAGTAAGGCCTATTTCTTCTGCCCAGACCTATTCAGAAATTTAATAATGTCTGTATTTTGTTTTCTAATAATAACATTTCACACTGTAGTGGTATGCATTTGTTTTTTCTTTTTTTCCCATTTCATTCAGCTCCAGTGATGCACATTACTGGAAAATGAGATAGATGATGCAATAAGGGAGGCAGCAATACACAGTGCAATTGAACAGATTTTGACAGGACAGCCATAAAACTGAATTAAAACAAAGAAGAAACAATTTGATAGCAGGGTTAAGGCCATTAAATCATTTTTTTTCTGGGTCAGTGTTTGCAAGCTTAATGTTATTGAAAAGGTTGCACCTCAAAAATATTTTACTTCATTTCATAGTAAAGACTACACACCACTAAATGATCTTGCAATATTATTTATTAAAATGGGAAAAAAATACATTGGATGCCTAGACTTAGATGCCTCCTCAATAAGGCTCCACACTAGTCTCTTGCTGCACTTTTGTATTTTCTATATAGCAGCCTTGGTACCTAAATCCAGATTTACCGCAGACATCACTGTGTTTCCAGACTATGAGTAAATAAGTACATGCGACACCCTTGACCTTTATTTGTAAACTTCTGGAGAAAATGCTGTACCACAATGTACAGCAGAACGTTTACTGCAAAATAATATTTTTTTAACAATCAAGTGGTGTAAATAACAACCAAGATACTATCACCTGACATAACATCTGTATATACTGTATACAGTATAACCCTGCACACATACTGTACATATGAGAATAAAAACAGACTTGACACTTAACTGAGCCTTCTAGTTAACCAAGGTGTGGTATTGTTGTTTTAAAATGCTACAAATAGATGCATTAAGCTTCAATTTATTTAAGATATAACAAATGACGCTGATGAAGGTGGTGATGGTGTTAACAGCAACAAGTAACATTCCAATAATAATATAAGCAAAGACGGAAACACACCTCCTATATCTGGCCTCAGCTTGTTGTCGTATCCATCTAGCAAGCTGTTTAAAATGTGTGTGACATCGCTTTCATATACTTTTGGAGTCAGCACCCAGGTTTTGTTGGACACTAAATCTTCATCTTCCTCATCTTCTTTTTGGAGAGATCTAAAAAAAGAGATTATTAATAAAATAAAGAAGACCTAATGAGAAAGAAGACTTCTGAGTTTTTCAGGAATCAATTTCAAAATGACTCCATTACCAATATAAACATTTGATAAACTACAGTACATTTAGCCCCGGGTAAAAAAATGCAAATCTGCCTCCTATTGCTATTACTGCAGCAACACATACTGTAAGAATAAACTTAATTTTTCAAAAAGTGACAAATATACAGTCTGTGGAACCAAGTTAAACTAACTGAAACTATCTCTTGGCCTAACCAAACTTTCAAATACATCTACAGGCAAGCACACATATAAAACATCTCTAACCATGCAAAGGAACAGGTAGAGATTTATTCCATTCTGAAAGGAAAAGAAAAGAGAAACAACATTATGTCTCTTTTATTTTCCTTTCAGCATGGAATAAATCTTTATCTGTTCTTTTGGAGCCTACACATACTGACACAGTTACAGTACCTACTTGAACATCTCTAACGGTATGTATGGTTAGTATGTATTCTGTAACCTGAAAGGTTACACATACTGTAAGTACAGTAACTAGAAACACTTACAGTACACATTCCATCCATACTCACAGCTACTGTACTTAATTGAAGCCATTACTAGTTTTAAATTATTGTGGGATTATGGCTCGTTAGGATCATAGTTGGTACTGTAGCTACAGTACAGGCTTTTTTTTTGCTGTTTTTGGTTCTTTTCAATGGTGTACAGTATCTTTCTGTTTATGTGAAAGGTGTGTTCATAATCTATCTAGAAATGATAATCAAAGGAAATGTTCATTAAAAAATGTGTTTACAATATTTTTAATGAACAGTTTTCAACTTTGTGTGATATTGAAGCACTTGTAAAATATATATAGCAGCACATGTATAACTGAGTAAACTGTTCCAAAATATAACCACACTGCACTATTTTTCAATTAAAGTAAATTAAAACAGACTCCATTTTTCTTAATACAATCATGAACAATATTGTAGCATGTGCTGCATAATGGATCTCAAACAATCAGAGTAGTAAGTAAAAAAATATATGAACTCTGTTATGTACTGTCTTTATAATCAATATAAAGTAGCAATTCAATGCATAATCCATAAATATGACATTTATAAAGGCTGGTGCGTTTTCTTATTTTACAGTACAAAACATAGACAAGTTATTCAGTATTTATTTGAGCAACCCCAATTTAATAAATCAAAACTATACTTTTAATCATATGTTCATCACTCTATTCATACAAGAATATACTGTATCTGCTTTTTTCAGATTAGATGCTAATCATGAATTTGTATCTCAATGGGCCTAACGGGATCTTTGTCGAAGAGGTAGAGAATCCCAACTGAAAATGCAGCACAGTCCAGTTGTAGCATAAATTCACATTTAAGTACAGTTTTGGGCAATGTGTTTTCTGTTAAACTTTGAGAATTTTGGGAAGCCTACTCTTTTCAAGACATAACAAAATCTATAACTCCTTGGCACTAGAAATGACACACCTCCCAAAACAATTGCCTCTTTATGTTGTAAAGGATGGTGGCCATCTTGAGCAAGCATGAAAGTTAAACAAAATAGACTAATCAGTGAATACATCACAATATATAATTGTACTACATTCACTAGAAATGCATTCATTGCATAATGTAATGAAATGCAGAGCCTGAGTCATACTAGTATTATTAATTCAAAGAATACAATCACCAAATCTTATTTATTGTCTTCAGAAATCCAATACATATGAAAATAAATAGCATAAAGTAAAACAAATACAGCATATAATTAGTAAATTTGAGTCTGCAATGAAAAGCAACAGTCGGGTTTTGGACTGTACTGTAGGTACATACGTTGGTTTGAATCCTTGTTGCGACACTGCTGTTATACCCTTAAGCAAAGTATTTCACCCAGATATCTCCAGAAAAATCCCCAGTTGTATAACAGGTGAAAATATAAGTTGAAGGTTTTTTAATATGGAAAGCTTAGGCAAACTAGACATGAAAATGGTTTGTGAGTGCTTAGAGGTAGCATAATTATACCAGCTTTGTGAACATTAAGGGAGAATACTGCAGTATCAGAGAATACTGATTTCTTACTGATGTAATAATAGATTTTATGTGGCAAATATGGGTTGGATCAATTCATCTAATGTACAATTTTCCTGGTAAATTACCAAGGGGGCTGTATTTTTTTAATAACTGCCCTTTAAACTGCAGTTTCAAAAAGATAGTTCCTACTAAACAGCAACAAAATGGAGGAGTGTTACTGACAAATACAGAAAGCATATGATCTGAGCATATTCTAACACAAAGATAATATGAATGGTGTATGATATGATTATTAATTAATAAAAACACTTCCAAATTCTGGAGGGTACAGAAAGAAGCTGTGTACTGTACATAACACACCAAGCTTTCAAATTTAGCTCTGCATAAGACAGCCAGTCAACAATATTATGTGGTTGCTGATGTTGTTTTGACATGTCAGGTTCAAGCAACCTAACAGAAAACTTATTCACCTACATTACATTCTGGAGAGAACATAAGTAGTGCTCTTAGGTCAAGGAACAGTACATTCTCATTGTTAGTGTATTTCTCTTATATGATTTGAAAATCACTTTTTTCATTTAGCTATAGGTATTACCTGTTGTAACAGGTCAACAGCCAGTCAACAGACAAAAATGATTTTCAAAAAATTGAATCCTGATCACAGCATAATTTTTAATGAAGATAATCTGTAACTATTTTATTGTGAGCTCATAAATTCTAGTCTGTTCACATAACCTGCATGGCTTTCATGTTGCCATAATCAACTGAGCCTTTAGTGTGCCTAAAATAAAGCACTAACAGTAGAACCAGAGACATTTCTAGTCCTTACCTTGTGATTTGAGACTTTTCTGTTGGAATATTCATTCTTACAGTATGAAACAAATACAAATTAGAGCACATAGATTATCTACCATCAAATAAAAAGTCACAAATATTTCCCAATGATAGTTGCAGAAGGTAATCATTCTCTTTACTATATCATATTATGCATATATAGCTAACTATAGTAAGTAATGACAGCAAATATAATTTCTTATGCAGTATTTCATATGAAAGTTTTCCTTTAAATCCTTATATTTGTTGTCATAAGGAAATATGCATCACAACAATGTCATGTAAATACTGAGAAAGTTGTTAAGGTAAATCAGTGGTGTTGAAAATGAAGCAACACTATCTGAAATATCATCTTCTTCACCTGCTCTGACATAATTGCTAATATAATGTACTGCAAATGTGCATACCAGAATATCCTCCCACATAAAGACTGTTTAGTAATACCAATCATTGCATGGATAGAATGTAATCATAACCACATAAAATGCATTTCTTTAAAACTATTTTGAAATTCAAAGATAAACAAAGGGGACATACTGATCTATGTATAAATATTAAAACACCTTCCCTAAATGTCTGTATTTTTAAAACTCCATTGTATCAATATTTAAGCCTTCTGCTTCAGAATCAATTCTTAGTGCTTGGGATTCAATCTGCACTGCACAAGAGGTTGTTTTCAACGGAGGCAATTCCATGAATATGACAAAACTATCTTTCCATCATAATTAGCAAGATTCTTTCCTTTCTTTTGTGCTTCAGGTTGATATCTTTTTTTCAATTTTCTTTTCTCCGTTGTAGCCTGGATTTTCAAATGCAAGCAAATGTCTTTCCCCAACCTGCACACCAATGTGTAAAAAGCCCAGTGCAAGAATAAAATATATAGAAATATTTTTTACAGCCATTTACTATTAGCCTTTGAAAAGCAATGTTTGAGGAGTATGACTATAAACCAGAGATGAGTCACCCTTGTGAGAACTGCTCTCTTGGATCATTATAGTATGTTAAGATCCAGTGTGTTGTCTTCAGTACTTTAGTCAGTTCCCACCAGTCGAGGACATGGTAAAGTACAGTATGCATGTTCCATTGAATATTGTTCTATTTATAAAGTAAAGACATGCATGTGTTGTATGCATGTACTATACTAGATTACTTAATAAATCCACCCAACCAGCAATTCATATAGTTGTTAAGTTTGGATTCCATAAGAAAACCCAAAAGGGCTCAGACAAATAAGATCTAGACTAATTCCCAGGATGAGCTGCAAGACCTGTAAGGACAGGTAAAAGGAACTAATTTAATTAACTCTATAAAAAAGCAAAAGTCAGGGAAGACCTACAGTAATTAAGTATTTAAAAATAGACAAGATCAAAGTAAACTAAAACAGGTATCTGGAGGTAATTTTAGGACACAGAACTAGGGGGAAACATCTGAAGTCAAGCAGAATTTAACAGATAGAGGGTGCACACTTTATTAATTGAGTGCCACTGTAATGCATCATTTTAGTTACTACGAAAATGTGAAGCACCAAGAAGTGTTCTAATATCTTATCTTAGAATCCTTTTTTTGTAGACTGTCAATTGTCCATAGGTCAAAGTCACGAATTCAAGCAGGAACGGTACATAACAAAAGTAAAAAACAGCAAATGTAATGGAACAATAAATAAGAGACTCTTTTGTTAAATATACAGTACATAATAAAATCGATACACTTCATGCAACTCTTTAATTATTCCTTATTTACTTTCCTCATGGATATTTAAAACATTACAAATGGAGTATGATTTGTCCGTTGTGTAAGAGACATAGTATAGATATTGTAAGTCGTAAATTACAATTTTTTAATATTGTTTGATTGAAGGACAAATACGGTAACTTCTTACCACATCACACTTAATTTGTATGTTACAAAAACAAAAACTTCAGTGGTTACTTGGTCAGAATTATTCTTCAGCACCAGTTAAACTGTTGTTATTTTCAGGGTTAATTCTGCAAAACAACAAAATCTTTTGAGTTACAGCAAGATTTACAACCGACTTACATACTGGCTGTGAGCTTTAAATGTGTCTTAATAGGTACATAGTTGCTCTATGTTTTCCAGCAGCTGAAATTAAAACTTC